CGCACGGCCCCCTCGCGCGGCCCGAGAGGGACAAGGGCCACAGCGGGGGGGCTGGGGACGCCCCCGACGCAGGGACCCCGCGGCACTTCCCAAGCAAGCCGCAGGCTCCAAGGAGAGCAAGCTGGAAGTGGGAAAACGCCCCTCGGCAGAGAGCACCGTGGAGTAAATGTTGTTTGGAGAGGGAAAACAAGGAGAGGATTTGGCCGCCTGGGAGAAAAGGGGCTGCCCAGAGCAGGTCCAGCCGCCATCCCCATCCCAGCACTTCCCAGGCAGCTCCCGCCGCCCATCCCACCCACACGGAGCCACCCACGGAGCGAGGGCGGCTCCAGGGCTGCAGGACGGGGCCCGTTCCCGTTCCCGGCACGCTCCTAATAGCATCCAGAGCCGGGGCCGGGCACAGCCGGGCTGCCAACGGGAGCAGCTCTGGAGGCCAGGGGCTGCCTGGAGCGGGCCGGGGGGAAGACGTGGCCGGACAAGATCCCCCTGTCCGGCGGCACCGCGGGTGGCTCCTCGAGGGCCAGGATGTCGATGGGGGCCTCGGCCACGTCCCGCATGGACTGCTCCAGGGCCAGGGAAGGATCGAAGAGCAGCGGGGACGGGGGGCACTGCAGGCCATCACCCACCACGTCCAAATCCTGCGGGAGAAAGCGGCAGGAGGGGCCCATGAGCAGGAGCAACCTGCACCCCAGCTCCTGAGCATGGGAGCAGGCGGCACGCGGCTCCGGTGCTTGCGGGCGGAGGACGGGGAGCATCCTGCGCAAGGAGCCTCCCTGGCTGCGCTCTGCAGATTGCATCTGCACTGGGCTCAAGGCAGGAATGGCACAACTCGGGCCCTGGATTCACCCAAACTGCTCCCAAAACAGCCTGTGGTGGGAGCCCCCCTGAAGGGAAGGGAGTCACAGGCCTGGGTTCTATTTTGGACCTGAAAAAAACCCTCCTGCAAATCCCGTTTTCATGGAGAGCAGCCTCACGGGAAGGGGAGCCGGGAGCAGCGTCCATGACCCCCGGATCCGGGCGCCGCATCCCGGTCTCACTCCATGGTGGCTCCGGGGCCGGACCCGGCTCCTCCCAGGCAGCCCCAGGGGCTCTCCAGGCTCCAAGAGCTCCTGCATTGAAGCGGTATCCGCTGCCACCCTCCCTGCTCCAGAGCTGCAGGAAAACCCTCCTCCCTCCTCCAGCACATTTCAGGCTGCAAGATCGGCCGCTGATGGAAGCGCTCAGGAATCTTGGCCACATCCAAATTTTCAAGCAAGTGACGTCTCACTCAGAGCAGTAGCTCCACATGACCCCAGTAGTTTTGTTTAAATGAATCTCGGAGGATTTTAAGCACGTAGGCTTAACATCCATGCAGGATATCAGAATAATCTGGGGATTTAAATCCCTCTCTTTATGGGAGAGAAGGGAGGAAAAAAAATCCGCTTTTTACAAAGCCTTAAATGCGGATTTAAAGCAGAGCAGAGCCCTTCCAAAGGAGCAGTCACCAATCATGTCCAGAACACTACAAAAACAAGCAGCTCCCAAACCCTTCCCATTCCTGCACATTTTTCCAGAGACGAATCTTCCCCAAGACACCAGGAACAAAAATAGTTCCTGGCAGAAGGAAAGTGCTGAGAAACATCAATGTTTTAGTCCCCCCTTCCCAGGTTGCATGTGATGAGGCTGCAGGAACAGATTATTTGAGGCAAGACCTGGCCGTTTAGGTCCCGCTCGCCCCGGGCTCTGTCTCGGGGCTGCCCTGTGCGTGCTCTGCCCTGAGGCGCTGGCTTTACCCGGTGCCCAACGTGCCACCAGGTCTGCTGCCCTGGCTGTTTAGTGACCTTGGACGCGAAACGGGCAGCCTCTGCAGGAAGGTTCTGCGCACAAACCCCGCTCGCACGCCAGCACGGGCGCCCAGCTGCTCCCACTTACGTCGCTGAACTCCAGGGGCAAGTTTTCCGTGGGCTGGAGCTCAGCGGCGCTCAGGTACAGATCCGTGGGGGCAGCGTCCAGCTCCTGCGGCACGGAGAGCACCTGCTCGGGCACGTACATCTGCGGAGGCAGGCGGAGGTGCAGCGGGCAGCACGGCTCCTCCGAGAGGCTCACGGGAACGGGCTTGTTGCACGGCGCCTCCTCCGAGCCTTGACACGGTTTGAAGAGAGTCTGATTAGTGTCTTGGCAGATGTCTGGAAAAACTGGAGTCAAGGGAAAGCTGCACACAATGGCCAGGTACTAGGAAACGATTCCATGAAAAATCATCAGAGCTCCCCTCACGCTGCATCATTAGGGATCAATGTTAACAAGCACAGTCCCCTTCGTGGCCGTCCAGGCTCCAGAGCTGCATCCTCACGGAAAACAGGGGTGCCTGGAAAGCACTCACAGATGGAAGACATGACCAAGGGCTTCCTCTGCTTGGCAGACATCCATTCAGAAGGCATCCGTGCGAGCCCCAAATCTACTGGGCACCAGACACTCGCAGGCACAACGCTTTTTCCAGGGTTGGGAATTTAGTTCCTGTATCTCTACCTTCCCAGGGCATTTTCTTTCCCCATGGAAAACCTATTCCTGCCAGAGGTGTAAATGGGATTTCCTGCCTTTAATCACAAAGGGAAACTCTGCTTGGATTGTAGCTCACTTCCAGGGCAATCCACCAGCAGCGACGAGTCCCCTTTTTCCAGCAGAAGGGCACAGGAACCTGGCGACCGGACAAACTGCCCCAGTGCTGAAGGCGGCAGGACGGCCGCCCCGCACCGCGTTTTCCTGGCTAGCACCAACTCCCTACTTGTTATTGCAGAGATCAACCGAGCTGGTTTCCTGGCTGTGCACGCGGTGACAGGAACTCCACTCCAGAAGATCTGACGCTTGGTGCCAGAGCCGGTTTCGAGTGTGGAACGAGTCCTGCAAGTCAGCGATCTCCGTATCAAACCCACCAAAATAACTAGCCACGCTGCTGCCCTTGGCATTTGCCAAGCTCGTTTTACAGCTTCCTTCTTACACAGAGCAGCGAGGGAGCGAAAAACACCCCCAACCTTTTCAAACCCACGGAAAATGCAAAGGACGCCAAGCTTAACCCAGTTTCTTAAGCCGCCCGGATTTTGAATTTACCACTGAATTTACCACTAACCTCAATGCGTGGAGGCAACTCCGAGGGCACTAACAGGATTCCCAGATGGGCTGGGGGAGCCCATAATCCGTGTGAGATGCAACAACGCAGAGCAGCCAAATCTACCCGTACTCACGGGCAGATGTGGCCAGAAGTGTCCCCATACGAACAGCGGCGTGGGGAGATGGATTTTCATCTCTCGGAAGGCCTCTGGATCAAGCACTTACTTTATTAGGAGCCAAAAAGCACCAATTGCCAAGCTGACAGGCCTGCAAGCTCCACCTGGAGCCCAGCAGCCCAGCTGGGGTCGGTACCTTTAATGCATTGTCACAAATAATCAGGCTTCTGCAAAGCAAACAAAGCCCAAGAGCCTCCTGCCAATGCGCGAAGCGGAGCCGGCTGCAGATGTTATCGGCTCAGCAGGACTAACCAAAGGAAAATCTTGTTTGTGTCGGTACAAGTCAGCTGACGCGCGCGGACACGAGCAGTAAAACGCCGCTTTTTGCCCTCCCTCCCTGCCCCGCGCTGCTCAGCCAGCTGCAAAGAGCAGCCTGCTCAAGCCGTTCTGAGGGGATTTATCCTGCCTTTATTTTAATATGTGCTCGCTACAGAGAAACAATGGCAGCTTCCTGCTCCCTGGGCTGCTCCCTGCGCGTAGCCGAGTCACTCTGCCAACTTCAACAGCAAAACAGAACGAGGAGCTGCTCATCCCGCAGGCTGCCGGCTCCTCCCGGGACACAGCGCTGCACTTACCCTGCCTCACAGCAGCACCGGCTGCGAACGCGGCGCGAGACGCGACCCAAACCTGGTACCGGCCGGACGCGCCCGACCCCGCTCAGGAATCGCACCCGGGACAGGGGCACAACTTGGTGGATCCCGTGTGGCTGGTGCTGATCTGGGAGCTGGAGGGAGGCAGGGGGAAATTCGGAGCCACCGTTGAACAACCAAGGCCGTATCTGGGAGCGCAGGAGCCTGGAGCGGGCCCTGAGCAGGGCAGGATCTCACTGGGACCAACCCTGCTTTGGAGGAGCCCAAACGGCAGCGAGAGGGCCCAGGGCAGACATGATCCCCCCGCCAGGCCCTCCTGCATCTGCTGTGTGAGCAGAGCCCCAACGGCGAAACACCCCTGCTATTCAGGCCTGCTCTGCACAGCTGCTGGCACCCCGGG